AAAAATACACAAAAAAAAAAAAAACTAGCTGGGCATGGTGGCACACCCTTGTAGTCCCAGCTACTCAGAGGCGGGAGGCTCACTGGGAGGTCAAGGCTGCAGTGAGCCACGATCATGCCACTACGCTCTAGCCTGAGTAACAGAGTGAGATGCTGTCTCAAAATAAAATAAAATGTACTTTACTGAGAGTTTGCTGATGGCAAATTCTCTCAATTTTTATCAATGAAAGTTTCTTATCTTTTCATTATTACTGAACAGTGGTTTAGCTGGTATCATAGTTAGGGTTCTTCAGAGAAACAGAACGAGCAGGTGGATAGATAGATAGATATAGATATAGATGACAGACTGACACAGATAGGTAGATCTGTCTGTCTATCTGTCTGTCTGTCTGCCTAACTAGAGATCAATTTTAAGGAGTTGATTCATGAACTTACGGAGTCTGGCAAGTCCCACTGTCTTCCGTCTTCAGCATGGGAATCAGGGAATAAGAATCCGCGTAGAGGAGGGGCAGGAGTGCCAACACCAGGACAGTGGCAACCGCAGAGAGAAGAGGGTCAGGCTGATGAGGGAAGGGAGAAGAACGGGTGTCCGGGACAGGCTCTCCTGGAGTCCTAGTCATGATCCCAGTAGAGGTAGGGCGAGGCCTTGAGCTCCCTGGGTCCAGTGTCCTAGGGAGCAAGGTGAGAGCTACGGTGATGCAGAGCTCTCCAGGCCTTGCTCTGACAGCCCTCGCCCCAGGGACAACCAAGCAGGAGCTAGAGGAAGGTGGACCCAGAGAGAGACTCCATAAAGGGAGCAGCACCTGGGCAGGTGGGTGATGCCAGTAACGCATAGAAACGAATCTGTGAGTGCGTCATGGCGGCGGCAAGGAGCCATGTTGCCAGTACCAGTTCCCTGAAGTTGAGAGCCCAGGAATAGCCAGAGATCAGAAGAGGCGTGGGACTGTGGCCTTAAAAGCCACAAATGAGAGAAGCCTGACACTGTAAAGGGTTTAGCTCAGTGGAAGAGCATTTGAAGAGCAGTTGAAGAGTATCAAGAGGTCCCTGCTTCAAATCCAGGTGTCACCTACAGTTTACTGGCTTTTATCCAGCAAAAGTATCTTGCTTCCTTCCTCTCCCACCCCTCAAAAGCCAGCCTCTAGGACTATAATGTCATATTTGTGACAGAGAAATAGGACGCAGCAGACAAGCTTTGCTAGCCTCACGATGACCTTTCTAGAAGGTTTTCTGCAGAAACCCTGTGGGGTATTTACGTAGGTTTAAATCCTGATTCTTCCTCCTGCCACCTGTGTCATTGTTAGCAAGTCACTGAGTCTCAGGATCCTCACAACCAGGACAACTGGGGAACTGGGGTCCTTGCGAGGCGGCCACGTGTGGACAAACCTGTATGTTATGCGACCCGGGAGCTCAACTTCCGCCGGTTTGCAGCTGCGACATTGCCAAGGCCTCCACCCACCTCATATGCAGGACTTGCTTCTGCTCCCTCTGGCCTTTCACCTGCCGCTCTGGTTGCTGTCTGGGCCCTGCCCGCCTGCCTTGGCTGCTTCCATTTCTGCTTGTGGACAGAGGGCAGTGCATCCATGAAATGTCCCAATGCGGAAATGCGGCTCTCACCACCTGACACAAACAAAACATATTCTTTCCAGAGAGCCTCCCTTCCCCCTGAACACAATAACCTAAGGGGAACAATTACCAACTCAGACTCCAGGCACCCCGCAGTGACTGCCCAGAGACTCCCGTATCCCTTCCCACACTCCGTGCAGCCCACCCCCACCACCCCTCATCCAGCATCCTCAAGAGGGAGGGGAGGAGAAAGGACGGGAACTTTCTTTCCACATGTACATGGGTGGAGGCAAATGGGTGCGTCTGGAGGGATGGTTCTACTCCACGAGCAAAAGCCTCCTCCAGATATCAGTTCAAACTGCCTAGGACAATCACTGGAACAAAATCATCTCCGGTGCAAAGTCCTATTACTTTTCCTCCCACTGCCCTTATTTTCTGATCGCAATTTCACCTGTAGCTGGGATCTATTTAAACTTCTAACTTCCAGGCATACCTAACTTTTTGCCTTTGGTGGGAAGAAAACTGACTACATAGAATAATAACAATAAAATAATTTATTTCTAAAAATAAATTTTCAAAATAAAAATATTAATAGCAAGAACATTGCACACCCTCAAGGCGTCCAAGCTGGGGTCCTCTGTATCTCACCTCCCCTGCTTCCATCTCAGCTCACCTTTCAGTCCAAAACGTTACCAGATCCACTCTGTTGCCCAGACTGGAGTGCAGAGGCCTGATTATAGCCCATTGCAGCCTCAAACTCTTGAGCTCAAGAAATACTTCCAACTCAGCCTCCTGAGTAGCTGGGACTACAAGACGTGTGCCACCATGCCAGGCTGATTTTTAAATTTTCTGTGGCGATGGGTCTAGCTACAATGCCCAGGCCGGTCTTGAGCTCCCGGGCTCAAGTTATCCTTCCACTTCAGCCTCCCAAAGTGCTGGGATTGCAGGCACGAGCCACTGCACCTAGCCAAAATCTTATTTTATTCCAAATTTTCATCCACTGTCTCTATCCCAACTGCCACGGCTTCATGTTCTCTTGCTTGAATCATTGTAACTCTAAAGTCAGATCCCTGTAACTCCTTCCACTGGACTATCCTATCCAATGTGGTCACCACCATGAGATTCCTAACAATCTGAGCAGATTATTTTCATCTCCTGAATAAAACCCTTTGTGGATCCTCAGTGTTCACAGGGCAAAACATAAACTTCATCCCATGGAACTCATGGCCCATGGCAATTTAGACTTTGCTGGCTTCTCTAGCCATTGTGCCCTCAATGCCTCCCATGGCCCACACTACACCTCCCACTGCTCCCCTGACGCACGTGATTCCTTGCCCAGCCTTTGTTTATACTGCATCCTTTACCCAAAATGCCCTTTTCTACTCACCTTCTTCACGTGGAATTTTGATTAGCTAATGCTGCAAAACAAATCACAGCAAATCTTAGAGCCTCAAACACTAATCATGTCTTACTTCCATGGTTTCTATTGGCCAGGAATTCAGGATGGGCTCAGATAAGCAGTTCTCATTTAGAGATCTCTCCTGCAGTTATAATTGTATGTTAGCTGGGGCTGTGTCATCTGAAGGCTTGACTGAGGCTGGAGGGCCTACTTTCAACATGGCTGTCTCCCATGGCTGGCAAGCTGATGCAGACCATGAGCTGAGGGCTTCAGTCCCTCTCCACATCAGCCTCCACAGGGTTGCTTGAGCATCCTCACAGCATGGAGGCTGGCTTCCCCCAGAGTGATAAATCTAAAAGACCAAGGTGGAAGCTGCCATGCTTTTATTGTCTAGCTTCAAAAGTCACACAGTGTCACTTCCATGGTATTATTTTTCTCTCTTTGTACCAAGCACTTTCTGACCTTCCGTCAAATTCTCTAGCTCTGGGCCATCCTCTTTACCTGCTGTGACTTCACAACTGCCACCTTTTTACTTGTAAGGACATGCCCAGGACTTCAAGCTTGCTTTCAGGAGCTGGCAGCACCAATTCTAAATAGCGGTCTTTTTTACTGCCATGAGCCACCCCTTTCTTGTCTTCACAACCGTTCAGGCTACTCTTCCTCAGTTCCAAATCAAAACATGCATTAATAGCCTTGTTGAAATTTAAGAACAGAAAGGCCAATCAACCCTCCTTGGTTAAACTCAACTGACATTTTTTTTTCTGATGCATAATTTTATTAAAGCCAGAGATGGTCATTTCTTCTAGAGAAACAAATCTCTGAGGTTAGAATGGAAGACAATGAAACAAGATATTCCACTTTATAATTTACCTTTGTCAAACTATCCCAGAGCATGCCAATTCTATTATGAAAGTATTACTTTGACATTATGAATCAAATAGGGCAGAAAACACAGAAGCCAAAAAACCTTAAATTCTGTAATCTTCAAGTCAATCATCATTTTCTTAGGTTTTTGAAGACCCGAAAAGAAAAATAAATTTCAAACAGCAGCACTCAAACACCATACACATTTGTAATCAGGCACAGCAATTTTTTTTTTTTTTTTTGAGATGCAGTCTCAGTCACCCAGGCTGGATTGCAGTGGCCTGATCTTGGCTCACTGCAACCTCTAGCTCCCAGGTTCAAGTGATTCTCCTACCTCAGCCTCCCGAGTAGCTGGGACTACAGGTGCACGCCACCACGCCTGGCTGGTTTTTTTATTTTTAGTAGAGACAGGGTTTCGCCAAGTTGCCCAAGCTGGTCTTGAACTCCTGATCTCAAGTGACCTGCCCACCTCGGCCTCCCAAAGTGCTAGGATTATAGGCATGAGCCCCCACACCCAGCCTAGCGGTCAATTTTAAGTTTCATATTTTCCAGGTTTTAGCTTAATAATTCTCATTACTTTTTTAGATTTCTGTCAGTTTTGTTTTGGGGCTATTTTGCCTTACTGGGCCTAAACAGAGTATTAAAATACATTAATTATCCATACTAAGAATAGAGTATAAGTGGGTTTCTCACTCCTGAGGGACACAAGTGGAAATAACACATCCCATGAACACAGGTGAATGCCCCTGGTTATCCCTGAGCTGGGTAGTTTCACACAATCATTTTTTTCTCTGAGGCCAAAGTCTGTGGTTTGATCATCTTAGCAGCTTCCAGAACAGAAAGTAGGTTTACTTTGTCTCCAAATTCTTTTTCTCGGTGCTCGAGAAGAATGCCCTGCTTTCCTGATCCCACCACAAAAACTCCCCCGAGGACGAAGACTTCTCCTCCAGGTTTCCAGAGAAGCCTCCATTCCAGGCTTGGAAGAAGTTGTACCACACTTCCAGATGGATAAATCCCATAAACATCATCTTCTGCCTTTGTGGACCATAGAACTTTTTCTTTTCATCCAGGAAGATTTCTCCTTTGAAATAAGGCTGGAAATCCTTCACTTCAGTCTTGATGTGCTCCTTTACCACTGCATAGAGGGGGCCACCAAGCTCGTCCAACTTGGGTTTCAGGGAGGACAGATCCGCAGCTTCGTCTGGACAGAGGAAACAGCCTGGCCTCCGCACAGCCATAATCACAGCTCCATTTTTTTCCCATAGATCCTTTGCTTTCAAAGTCCTTGGTTCATTCTCTAGTGCTTTCAGGTCAATATCCTCCAGGTACTTCAGTGCTGTTTTCTGGGGCTTGGACAGAAACATGTCTGTGTTGGCCAGCAGCAATGCCAAGGCAGCAGCCCCCAGGGCTCCCGCACCAATGGACCACAACCCCATGGTGAAGAAACTTGGGTCCTGGAGGAAAGACATTTCCGCAGTGTCGCCCTCCTGCTGGCCTTCTCCCGCCCCTACGCCCCTCAACTGACATTTTTTATGAGTATCTACTAAATACCAATGCTCCAGACATATGCAGATGAAGAATATTTGAACATTTCTCCTGCCTAAGACATGCTCAGAGCCAGATGGAAATAATGACAACAAATAATGTAGCACAAATAATATGTGCTACAGTTCCAAACAAAACCTTAAACTAAGGGAAAATAGAAAAGAGAAAAAGCAACTGAACCTGGGGCCAGGGAAAGGGAGAAAAGCCTTCAAAAACATGCCCAGTGCAGTGGCTCATGCCTGTAATCCCAGCACTTTGGGAAACTGAGGCGGGTGGATCACTAGAGGCCAGGACTTCAAGACCAGCCTAGCAAACATGGTAAAATCTCATCTAGACTAAAAATACACAGATTAGCTGGGCATGGTGATATGTGCCAGTAATCCCAGCTACTCAGGAGGCTGAGGCATGGGAATCACTTAAACCCAGGAGGTGGAAGTTGAAGTGAGCCGAGATCATGCCACTGCACTCCAGCCTGGGTGACCGAGCAAGACTTCATCTCAAACAAAACAAAACAAAACAAAAAAACTAGCTGAGAGGTCACCTCTACTGCAAGGGATGAATGTCTGTCCAGACAGTGGGGTTGGAAGGTGCGTTGGATGGCACATTAAAAGACGTGCTGGACCATGGAGAGCACACGGTGCCTGGAGGGCACATGTGTGCCTGTGAAGGTCTGTGGTGGGCGGGGGGGGTAAGGAGGTGGAGCAAGAGGAACAGGGAGGGGTGGGAGAGAGAGGTGACCACAATGGAAAAGTAGATTAACGCATGTTGTGGGGAGACTTGTATATTGACTGTGCTTTGACACTTTGACATTTTAGACATCTTGGAGTTTGCTGAGGACTTGAAGCAAAGGAACCATAGGTTCATATTTGTTTTGCAGGCAGATGGTGTCAGCAGGCAGAGGCTATGTGGGAGGAAAGGGAGATGGGCGACTTACTAATATTTGTTGTATTGCTGAGGCTGCTGCTGATGCTGTAGGGAGGTTGGGAAAGGGGTTTTAATTTTTTTCCTTAGGAACTGTTTTATTCATTTTAACTGAAAGTATAAGATGTGGCCCTGGGAATACTGCCTTCCAGAGAGGTGGGGTCCTAGCAGCAGCCTCAGGGATGCTCTGACCCCCAAGCTCCTGTGCTGCTGTTGCAGTGCTTGAGCAGGACCTGGAAGTGCCTGGACAAGAGCTGTCAGCACCTGGGCAGGACCTGGGAAGCACCTGGGCAGGACCTGGCAGGACCTGGGCAGGATCTTATGGCACTTGGGCAATAACTGGACAGAACCTGGGCAACACCTGCATAGCACCTGACAAGTCCTGGCAGGACCTGGGCAGAACCTGCTACCAACACAAGCCCAGAGTGGGTCAATTCAGCTGATGAGGTCACAGTCATTGCTACAGTCTCTGACCCTGATGGTTTCTTTTCATGGCTAGTTTTTTCCTTTTCCTTTGGAAAATTAAAGCATAACACAGAGAAGACTGCACAGAACCCCATGTACAGCTCAGTGAGTTAAAACAAAGTGAACATGCTTGGTAACCGCCCCACCAGCTGAGAAAATAACACAGCAGAAACTCAGAAACCTCCCGCAGGACGCACCTAGGCACTGGCCTCTCCTCCCCAAAAGAATCAAGCTATTCTGGCTTCTCTCACCATGCATTAATTTTATCTGTTCATTAACTTTATTTAAATGGAACCATAAAATATATGTTCCTTTTTGTCTAGATTTTCTCTCAATATTCCATTTATGAGTGCTATGGTATAAATATCTGTGTTCCCCCAAAATTCTAATCCCCAAGGTGATGGTATTAGAAGGTGAGGTCTTTGGAAAGTGATTAGGTTGTGAGGGTGGAGCCCTCATGAATGGAATTAGTGACCTTACAAAAGTGGCTGGAGAGAGAGACCCCTCACCCCTTCCACCATGTAAGCATACAGCAAGAATGCACCATCTGTGAGCCAGAAATGGAGCTCCTACCAGTTACTGCATCTGCCTTGACCTTGGACTTCCCAGCCTCCAGAGCTGTGAGAAATAAATTTCTATTGTGTATAAGCTCTCCAGTATATGGTATTTTGTTATAGGGGCTGGAATGGACTAAGAGAGTGAGATTCATTCATGTTATTGCATGAAGCTATAGCACATTCATTTTAATGCTGTATAAGATTATATTGAGCTAATAGTACAATGTATTTATCCATTCTATTCTTTATAAACATTTGGGTTATTTTCAATTTGAATCTATTATGAATGAAGCTGATATGAATATTCATGTATGTGTCTTTTGGTGCAAATTTATTTTTTTGTGATTTAGTTTTTATTTCATAATCATAAACTTTACTCAACTCTGCAATCCAGCTAGGTATGGAAGGGAACAAGGAAAACATGGAGCCCAAAGGGAACTACAGCGAGAGCACAAAGATTCTAGGATTCTGCGAGCAAGTGGGGTGGAGGGTGCTTTCCTGAGCTACAGAAGGAATGGTCTGGTGGTTAAGATAAAACACAAGTCAAACTTATTAGATTTGTCCACAGTCAGCAGTGGTGATCTTCTTGCTGGTCTTGCCATTCCTGGACCCAAAGCGCTTCATGACCTCCACAATGTTCATATGCCTTCTTTCAGCTTGCCAAAGACCGCATGCTCGCCATCCAACCACTCAGTCTTGGCAGTGCACATGAAAAACAGGGAACCGTTTGTGTTGGGTCCAGCATTTGCCGTGAACAAGATGCCAGGACCTGTATGTTTTAGGATGAAGTTCTCATCATCAAATTTCTTCCTGTAGATGGACTTGCCACCAGTGCCATTATGGAGTGCAAAGTCACCACCCTGACACATAAACTCTGGAATAAATCTGTGAAAGCAAAAACTCTTATCACCAAATCCTTTCTCTCCAGTGCTCAGAGCATGAAAGTTTTCTGCTGTCTTTGGAAAAAACAGCTCCAATATGTTAACATAGATTATGTTTATGGATTAGATGAGCAGTCATTTCTTGGTTTCCAGACCCCTTACCTTGAAGGAGACGTGGACCACGGGCTTGCTGTCAATGGCAATGTGAAAGAACACGGTGGGGTTGACCACGGCTGATACTACAAGGCTCCCAGTGACGGCAGCATCTGCAAAGCCAGTGCACATTTATTCTGAGCCTAATCCTAAGAGACGATTTTCTAGTTCATAGGGTGTCTATATCTTCAACTATAGTGGATAATGTCAACTTTAGTGGGTAAACTTGTTGTGCAAGTTTATGCTCACATCAGCAATATAGATTTTTCCATTACACCATCTGGTTACCAACACAATTATTGTTAGTTTTTTTCTTTTTTAATTTAGGCATTCCAATGGGTATGTAGTGTTTCTTGTGATGTTATTTTGCATTTCACTAATTACGACTGAGATCGGACAACTTGTCATGTGTTTGTTGGTTTCATGGATAACCTTTCTTTGGATAACCTTGTTCAGGTCTATTGCCCATTTTTGTACTGTGTGTTTTTTTAATTGATTCATAGGATTTCTTTATATATTCTGAATAAAATCTCTTGTTAGTTATATGTATGCAAATAACTTCTCCTTCTCTATAACTTGCCTTTCAACTTTATTTTTTTTAAGAGAGAGACCATCTCACTGTGTTGCCCACGCTGGAATGCAGTGGTGTGATCATGGCTCACCTCAGCCTCTACCTCCTGGGCTCAAGCAAACCTTCCACCTCAGAACCTCAAGTACCTGGGAACACACTAATGTGCCACCATGCCAGGCTAATTTTTAAAATTTTTTGTAGAGATGAGATCTTGCTACATTGCCCAGGCTAGACTCCAATGCCTGGATTAAAGCAATCCTCATGCCTCAACCTCTCAAAGTGCTGGGATTATAGGCATGAACTACCACACCTGGCCCCTTTCAACTTTTTAATGGCAACTTTTCATAAACAAGCATTTCTAATTTTAATATAGTCTTATTAGTCTTTTTACTTTATGGTTCTTCTTAAGGTCTGTTTAAGAAATCTTTACTTCCTTTGAGAGCAGAAGAAAGTCTCTTCCGTTGCCCACTGGAAAGTTAATTGTTTCACCCTTCCTATTTGGATCGGTAATTCACCCAGAATTGATTTTGTGTTTGGTGCAAGAGAGGGGTCCAAGTTTCATTTTTTCTGTGTTGATGTCTAATGGACTCAGAAGCTTTATTGACAAAGCTATCCTTTCTGAACTGCTCAGGAACGCCACTGCTACTTTCATCATAAATCAAGAATTCATAAGTGTGTGAGTCAATTTCTGGATTCCTTTGGATTTCTGTTCCTTTGGTTTGCTTGTTCTTCCTTGTGCAAATATATCATCTTAATCATCATAACTTGCTAACAATATTTTTAACAATATTTTATATGTAAGAGCAATTCCTCTTATTTTGTTCTTGAACATTAGCATGGATATTCTTGGCTTTTTGCATTTTCAATGTAAATTTTAGAATCAATTTGTGTTAATCTCTTCCCTCCATCCACCATAAAAAACTGCAGTCATTTTGATTTAGATTGAGTTGAATCTATATAGAAATTAGTATATTTATGCTGTGTGTGTTCCAGTCCATGAAGATGATATATCCCTTCATTTATGTATTTCTCTCAGAAATTTATCTCTGTAATATTTTATCACTTTCTGTGTAGAGATTATTATAAATACATTCATTAGATTTACCCCTAGATATTTGCTATTTTTGATTCTGTTATATTTTTATTTTTAACAGTCATTTTCCCACTACATAAGTCACAAACTTGCACAACTCATATATAAATTCTAACGATGTATCTGTATATCCTTTTGGATTGTCTAGGAAGTCTGGCGCTCTTCTGTGAATAAGATTAATTTTTTACTTTGCAATACATATACATCTACTTATTTTACTTGTCTTATTTCAGTTACTATGAACTTCATAAAAATGTGGATAGAAGTATTGATAGGTGTCATGCTTGCCTATTCCCAATCAGAGAGAAAGATTTTTTTTTTTT